GCAAACCAGCCCCTTTTGTTAGTTGGAATTTTATATAAATGTCGAGACGTCAGGTCAAATTGACTCTGAATAAATAATATGAAATATGATAAATGTGCGTTTCACGAGATTTTTTTTATTTTTTTTTTTCTGAAAAATGAATGTTCGTAATTTTCTCCTTGTTATTATTCAGAAAGTGCTCTAAAAAATGTATCCGAAATTCTCCGGTTTTCCATTTATAATTGTTGTGGAGCATTGCTGGTTGCTTGTTTTTGCGCGTTTTATAAAACTGACATTTCCGATGCCTAATGAATTTATCGCCAATGGAACAACGTCATAGCGGATTTAAATAATAAATTTCGTTGTCTATTTGCATCAGCGGGGAAAAAACGCCAGGAATTCGGGATAAACATCGTTAAGTCACATCAAATTTGTTCACTCGGGGGAACAATATTTGATTTAGAGTGCGGATCGACACAAAGTTCGGAATAATAATCGTCGTTGCTGTCGGCGTTGATTTTTAGAGCCGCGTGACATTCCTGAAATGTTTCGCGAAAAACTAATAAGTACCCGGCAAATATTTATTAAAGAAAATCATAAAAATTCCTCGGAGCACAGATCGTTTGTTGATACATGTGCATAGACCTTGGTTTTAAGCTGCCTCCGGTAATGCCAGGTGTTTTTTTTTTCGATAAAAAGCAGAATTAAAAAATACATATTTGAAAAACGACAGCGATGAAATTTAACGACTAAATTAAAAACACATTTAACGGATACTAAGCTATAGTAATGGGTTAAGTTAATAAACGTAAAATAGAAAGTTTAAAAAGGATATCAAAAAGTAGGACGACATTAATAATTCCTCGTTAAAAATCTTGATTCTTGAATTAAAAAAATAGTGTAAAAGGTACGATTATGATAATAACAATAACAATACAATAACTTTATATTACAATTGCAATTCCTTTAACTAAAACTACATTCCTTTGGGTTCGCCATAGCACTAGCGTGGATAGTGTTCATGGACGAATGTAAACAGGGAAACAAAAATTTGGTTAAAAAGGTACAAGCAAACAAAAAATTAATGCCAACAGATTTATATTGAAGTTAAAATCGTGAATAAGCAAATAACTTTTTGATAATTTTTAAAAATGTATAATGCAGTTTTCTAATTTTGCCTCGCAAGATACTTTATAAAAGGCACAAAATCTTATAACTTTATACTTAATTATGCAAAAAAAATTTGTTGTGTTGAGTTTTTCGGTGTTTGAAGAAGTTTACTATACTTTTTATACGATCATTACTTTTTGATAAATTTTTGCATACCAGAAGTCATCGAGCGCTCCCAGACAAAAAGCCTTAAAGTGATACTGCACACTGTAGACCGCTGGATAATCGGGTATTTTATTTAGAGTACACTTTTATCAGGAAGACTAAAATATGGAAGTGCATTAGTACTAATAATTATTTGTCGTAATACTATATGTGTTTTAATTAATTTATCATTTTTTATTTTAGCAAACAATACAAGTTGTCATTTTCGCTGTTTTTAAATCTTTATTTTTTTATTTTAGCGCATAACGCATCAATAATGTCAGTCAGTGGTATACTAATGTGGTTTGTTGACGCCGCCCAAATACTCCCAGTCTTTAATTACAGTATGGATGGTACTATCCTATTAAAAAGGTTTCCAGTGCAATGCAAATTATAGGATTCGTAATAGGAAATTGCAGGAATTTTTCTAGCTCCTGTCCTGATAAAATATTATTTTACTGTTCCTGTACTACTACCGAGAAGGTTCTTTGCGCAGAGACTTGCAATCTGTATTACTTCTCTACAAGTTAGATCATTACGGGATCGATGGAACAAATATGTTTTCATGTGCCGCGGCTGGAAGGGAGCTATCAATCAACTTGCTCAGGTCCAATATCCATCTTCAAAACCCTATTTACAATTTATGCGTTAAATTCAACATATTATCATCGCACTGTGATTTACATTATAATGGTCTAGGCGAAAAGCCTTATTTTTTCTGTTTTTCTTTCTTTTCTTGCTATAAAATTAGTAGATTTAAGATTAGTTTTTACGTCCCCTGTAATTAACATATCATATGATTTATATGCAATATTTTCTGTAATTGTGTCATGTTACCTGTTGGAAATAAGATGATATTACTATAACAAAACCCTAACAGCATTAGAGAGGAGTAGAATATAAACTGCGCATTGTTTAAGTAAAGTCAAGTTTATTAGTGAATGTCGTAAAATGCACAGGAATCTTGTTCGTCAGTTTTGTAAATCCGTGTCAAAAACCGCGTCGAGTTCAAAATTTTTTAGCTAAGACGGATCATTTTCGATCACGTCGCCATACGTGACGTAACTGCACAACTCCTCTGATTAGCATAAAAATTAAAATTAATTGTTTTTCCATTTTTCATTTCAACCTTAAAGAATGAGCCTTAAAGTATAATTTTCGAACTTTCAATATTGCTGTTTAAGGTTGGTGTGGTCTAATGTAACGGAATGTTTTTTATATTTTAGTCTTCCTGATTAAGCCTACAATCTTGGACAAAAGGGTTGTGGAATTGGCCGCTCAATTTTTTTGTGGTAATTGATATAGTTATCTAATTATACTATGCGTTACGTCGCCGTCGCTAACCAACTAACCAAAAATCGAGTATTATTATATTTTGACTAGTCAATTAAGAAGCACTAGCAAAGGCAACTAACCAAAAGCTGACGGACAAACAAAAGTTATTCGAAGTATGAAAAACCGTGAAAAATTTTATCTCTATATAATGCGATTGTTGGATAGCGGTTGCGATTTTCTATCCAGGTCCTGCATCCGTTTCTTGGGCTGGTTCGCGCAGTAAAACTACCGAGAAACACGTCGCACGACACTTTAAAACTCAGACCAAGACAAAAGGCTAGAGATAAAAGTTCACGCAAAAATGCACATTTATTATCTATTGTTTGAACGGGGTTACCCGTTACAAAATCAAACAGGATGTTCTGGCAAACACAATGTACGCATCACGCACCCAACGAAACGGGCATAAAATTTTATTGAGGAAGAGCTAAGCGAGGGGAAAAAAAATACGCGTTTTTCGCGTCCGTGGACGAATTCACGGGCGAGTGTCTATTTCCGTCCCTGTCGGACCGCCAGAAGTGACCGGTGGGCATAGGACCCACTTATAATTAAATATAGGCGTGCAATAATGATTTGCTTCACGGACCATAGAACGTTGTCGAAATTTACGATCGTGAATCACTGTAATTTACGTCAACTTTATTATTAGAGGCCGGCGCCCTGACAGGTAAATTACAAGCCCGACGACGTTTCGACCGTTTCGATGGACGAGACAAAGTTTGACGAACGAAATCCGTTAACAGGGTTAATTTCGCTTTTGCGCGGTCACGGACGTGGAGATTGATAATATTTTGCTCGAGGAGTGAATAAAAATTGATTAGATTTTGTTTTGTCGTGGCGCGGAAGGCCAGAGATCGAGATTTTTCGGTTTATTACTTTTATGGAGGCGTTAACGCTCGAAGCGGGACCTTTGTGGCTGATATCCAGCTATCTAATATTAGACCCTAAATATTTTAATGGAGCTCTTGCAAAAAAATATACGTTCTTTTTTGTGATAGCTTATCTAATAAAAAAAAGCAAGGTGTTAAGAATTTTCAATTCTATTTGTTTGTATAAATTACTTTTACGTAGATAAAAATTAATTAAAATGCAAAATAAATTACGGGCAGATGCAAATAAGAAAAAAAAAATAGATCTATTACACTTATTTCTCAGTAGTGTCAGAGCCCGGGGGCGTAGTAGATAGGTATGGTCTGTTTATAGATATAAGAAAGTAACCAATTGCTTTTGAATGGGATTATCCAAGGGTGGTCATTAACATACAATGCGACAAGATTATTACCCAAAGTTTCGGAATTTAAATTCAGGTAAAATTGTGGTCCGCGATAGAAAATAATTTTATACCTACCTATGTTTAATATTCTTTGGTTTGGTATACTAGTTAGTTTAAGTTTATTAGTAATCATTCTTATTTCGTGCGTGTGTTGAATTATGCAAAATATGTGCGAGTCTAGTGTATCTCAGGGATGCTCCCGCCCAAATGTAGAAAACACTATTCTATTGAGACTAAAGAATTTATGAACAAACAACAAATAAATATTGTTTATTATCGTTCTTAACAAAACCCCAAATAATTGAATTATAAGCAAAGTACGGACCTGTGCGGCCATATTTCATTCTTACAGCTTGCCCGGGTCTTTCCTTAATTCTTATCAGTTAGTCACTTTCTTATATCTATGAACAGACTTTACCTACATGTTTTACTCCCAAATTTTTTTAAGTATATATTTTTCATTTTTACTAATTTGAAGGTACTTTTCCCGAGTCGTGTAACCTTTTTAAGGATCACTTTCGGACACACATTATTCTTGAAAATTTATAAAATGGGGTTGAAAAAAAAAATTCTAATTTTATTATAAGAATTTTTTTTTAATTAAATTTAAAAAAAACAGTTGTTCGAGCTAATGTTTTAGCAGCTACAACAGAGAATTAATGGAATTAATGGAATTTATTAGAATTAGTTATGTGAACTATACAAAACTAACCAAAACATTAGCTACAAGTGAGAAAAAAGCAAAGAATAATTTAATTAAAATTAGTGATGTAAACAAAACAATTTTCTAGAAATGCAGAGCCATGGTGAGATTTTTTTACCCATACCGTTTGCTGTAAATCCAAATATTCAGACACGCGCTAATTTTAGTGAGGTTAAATCTATACATTCATTGACTGGGATGGGAGGATCGTGCGTGGTTGTTTGCGTTATTCCTTTTATCGTATCGTTACGGTTATCTCGAACCGCAGGTAATCCGTAAAAAAATAATCGCCCGAGCACGCACATTCCTTGCCTCGCCGAACGATTGTTATTATTATTGCTGCGAGACGGCAATTTGGCAATCTCCATACGGCGCGGTCTAAAAATAAAAACTTACGTGCGACCACCGTCGCCGCGGTCAGTTGAAAAACGATCGCCCGAGGCTTTCCGATGTCGGCAAACATTTTCCCCCCGTTGCTTCTGTCCCCTTCGCGGAAAAAAACAAAAAAGAAGATCCGGAAAATGCGAAAAAATGTCAGAGCGTCACGCGGGCGACCGGCAATGGTCACGCGGCCACTTTAACATAATATCGAAGCGGGTGGTGTATAAACAAACGAACGTTAAACGCCGAATTCGAGGTTATGACACGACTTAAGTCGCATGCGCCCGCGCTGGTCTAGTTCCCAACGAAAACACCGACAGACTGCCTCAGCCGGAACGCGACTCAGTCGAGCCTCACGGTATTTCATGCGCGTCGATGCCGCATCGGACGATTATTCCTTCTTTGGCGTCGTTTTTCTCCTACCGGCCGACTCGGATCGGCGATTTGGCAACGCCGTGACAAGTAAAAAAAACAATCTGATAACCGCGATGCACGGGTTGCGGCGCGTTTGGCGCAGGGGTGCGGTTTTTTGCGCCAAAGTTTGCTTTCGTGTCTAATGCGGTCTCGGCTGTTCAGGGATTGATTACCAACCCACCTTCCGACCTATATCGGTCTTTTTCATTTGGGAATGCAACGAAATATTAGAGGCACGGCATAGTCGTGATCGTTTTTGCGCCTCTGCAGTTGGTAGGCACGCAAACTCTTTTCTGTGGTCTCAGCCCGCACGGAACGAATCACAGATTTTATACTCGCCATTTGTACGGTTTTTGAGCCATTAACACCTAACGTAATAGTAAATAAATTTTCGGGGACGGGCTAGGGGACATCTGACATCAGAATTCATAGCAGTTTCTCGGTGGTTGAGGATGCCATAAAAACTCTGAAACGAGCATGATGAATTTGTGGAATTTTAATATGACGGTAACATCACGAATCAAATGATCTTTTCCATATAACACATTTTAGTCTATGATCTATTCATAGATGTAACTTTTAGTCATAAGTTAAGTAGAAAGGTGCGAAAAAGTTGCATCAGTGGTTTGTTTGGTTCGTGTTTTAATTGTAGTTACGGGTTCCCAATAACACCAGCCATAAAAAATACATTAGGTATTTTTATTTTAAACTAGTAGTAGAGAAGAAGCCGATGGAATTTGGGCGGCAATATTTTAAAAAATTATGTTAAGACGTACACTATTGGTATGTTTTATAAATTGGAATACTTATCCTAAATATTTTTATTTAATTCTGGATATTTCTTAACAGAGTAAAAGAATTCCAGGAGAATGAAAGTCACTCGAAAAATCCTTACAATTTAGCCAAACTCGAAAAGAAAAATACACAAAACGCTATCATGAATGTTATTACCAAGATACGACATAAAAAGGATCATGCTACAAAGCTGAGATTGCAACGTAATTGTAATAGAATACAATTTTACTTATAGTACCCAAATAAAATAAATAAAACTTACAATTAGCTAAAAAATCATCAAAAACTATCATCCAACACGGGCTGCCTCAAGCTTCGGTTCTGGGCCCTGTCCTGTTTTTATTGTACATTAATGATATCAATGTGGGGGACGGAGCTGAGCTACTTGTGCTCGCTGACGTCACCGATACTATAGCGGCAGGAAATTAAAATACGGAATGGACTCTGCGCTAAATAAACTTTACGATTACAACTTCCGGCAAATTTTGAAAACAAAACACTAAATGTCGATCTAATTTCTAAAAAACTTGTTAGCAGTATTTTTGTTATAACAAATCTGATGAGAATTGCTGCAGAGAGTAAACTGGTGTTTCTTTCCCACTGCCTTTTTCGGTTGCTCCCCCATGTTATCAGGGTTCGGACTCCAACGTAATACTCGGGCGTCTCCCTGTATATTTCACCCTCTATTGTACCTTTACAACAATGTTAATATATATCCAACAAATGTAATTGTAGTATTTACTTTTTATAATAAATTCCCCTAAGAAAATTAAAGGACCTCAGTAAAATCCAAAATATTAAATTTTTTCTGAGTAAGAGTGACTTCTTCATTTTGAAAACATAAAATAAATAAAAATCAATACCTAAAAAATAAAGATTTTATTGAATAAGCGGAATACATGTTTGGTCTATTTGTCGGCATATAATCTAGTGTTTATACTGTGATATTTTTGTTTCCATTGTTTGTTTAGACTTTAAGACTGACGACAAATAGTATGCAGGGTTTTACGTAAGCATTGGCTAATAAAGAAATTTTAATTCTAATTCAAATAATCTTTAATTACTGACACCCTCGTAGGACTCATTATAAACAATATGTGGTGGGCAGAACAGTAAATACGTTACGAAGAGTGACATTGTCCATCTCATTCCTCAGTGGTGGTGGTGAAGCATTCGAGGAACCCTTTGTATTCTTTCAATATTTCGGGATAATTCACGAAAAATCCCAGCTTCATATTCATTCAAGAGGACTGGCTAGCAAAACATTGTTTTTCCCACAATTTGGAAGATGGATTTTTTATTTGTGCGTTACGTAGCCGAAATCTAGTACCTAAATTTCATCTTTATCAAATATCAAATATCATCCTTACGCTAATGACTGTTTCTCCTACCTTAAATTTCGGTGTCTAGTGTGCCTGGTGTCAGGTGACTTGAACTGAAACGCGCATGTCCGATATGTGCTGCAGTATGACGTTTGAACAGCTGATTAGTGCTGATCGGGAGCGCTGTCAACCTAACAGGTTACCTTTAAGTTGGCGGACATTGACCCTCTCTCCCTTATTACCCCTCCTCTGTATTCCGTAAGTGTACGGCAATTTCTGCTTGCTAGCGGCGTCGTCTTGACGTACGATGCCATACAAAGTATCCGTCTCGGCGATATATTTAGTTAACGGGACCCGCTTTTTAACCTCGTACGGAGTAATTCTTTTAAGGGTGGCGAATTGAAACTAAATTGCTTTATATGGCACAAAACGACTCAGCGCGGGCATGTGCAACCGACGACAAGACGAGCACCAAAAACACAAGGGCGATAGGAAACGAGATTTTGCCGGCGTATTAGTCCCGAATACGGAATTTAGGAGAATTTTGGAGCGCATATACAGGGCGTTTATTAATCTTGTTTCTATACTTAAGGATCAGAATTCTAAATAATTAAATAATTTATCATCAAGGAGCTTTGTGTGACTTAAGATTTGCAAAAATTGGCAAAGGACTTTTAAGATGAGAAATTTGAATTTGCTTTTAAATTAATTTCTACTTGTATCTACAGTTAGTAGTAGGTAATCAACATAAGTGCGATCATTATAATCTAAATAGGTAAATAAAATAAATAAATAAATAATTAAATAAATATATGATAATAATAATGGCATCGAAATTTTGTTATTTATTTATTATTTCCTTACTACGAATGTTTCACCTTTTTAATAATATCGACCCATTACTTCAAACCAAAACATTTCGAAAATGGTTGCTTCTAGTGACTTCTAGGAGCTAAGAGCATTTTTCCAGATAAAATGATCGAATAATTCAAAAAAAGAAAAGGTATCAATTCTCGCTCAACAGTCGCCATTACTTATGCAGAACCAATAAAAATAAAACTTGGACCACACGCTTATATTGACTTTTGACCCTAAAAATACGTGTTAAATCACCCTGTATAGGGGTTGCGAACATGATTTAGTCACGCGATGTTCCCGGTTCTCCGAAATTTTATATGTATTCAAGGAATTATTATTTTTTTATCTTGTAATAATAAATCCATAAAGTCGATTAATAATATATCACTGTGCGGTTACTCTCTCTTTCTAACATGTAAACTATGCCAATTTTCATGAAAACAGAATTAGCTCTTCAACGCCATGTATCTGGACGAGGCCATAGATAAATAGATAGATAGATAGATAGATAGATGGTTTGTTGACTGCAATATCATTGTTTGTAGCAAGTCATACAAAGGAAAACAAATTAAATTGAATATATGTAGTTATATGCTAACTTAAAATTGTATATAACGTCATAATATACTAAATCTAGATATACAATGTATATAACTTCACAATAACAGGACAACAAATAAAAAATAAATTTATATGTATATAACACAAACCAATCAGTAAAATACAACGCACAACGCACCGCAACACGTCATTACCGATGTTTTCTTCAAAAAATTCACCAACGCTACAATAGCCCTTACTTAGAAGAAAACTTTTAATTTTATGTTTAAAATGTTTTTCGTTTAAAAGTTTAAAAAGATTTTGGCAATTTTTGCAAACCCGTATCTCAGTCGCACGAGATTATTTGCACTCCGGGTGTCATACCTATGAGAATCAGAACCCTTTGGCAAACTATCGGTCTTGGAGTGTATCTCAAGAACACTTTGAAATATAAATATACATGGAACCGTCATTATTTTATGTTTAATAAACAATGGCTTACAGTGTTCGTTAAAATTTGAATTTGTAATTATCGGTAGTGCCTTTTTTTGCATCCTAAATATTTTAATAGCATAAGAGGAGTATGTATGTATGGAGCAGTATGGTGGTATAGTTTATACGCGAGTGAAATAAACCAAAGTAAGTTGACTTAAATACATCAAAACTCACCATTCTGCGAAGTTGACGCAAAAGAAAATGAATATTTGAAAGATTTTTACTTAGCTCGCCAATGTGTTCTGACCAATTCAGAGTGTCATCCAAGGTAACGCCCAGAATCTTGCATCCCCTGCCACATGTCAACCTACTGCTACTAGACACTAATAAATTCTTCGTTTTAGCTTCATTAAGTTGTAGATTATTTGCTGAAAACCATGCTTTGGCCTTAGATAAAGTATATGTTTCAATATTACTCAGGGTAGTGATGTTCCTGTTTGAATTAACGTTGTGTCGTCAGCAAACAGCACAATCTCAGTATTAGGCATCATGTACTGGCAAATATCATTTATGTATATAATAAAAAGCAGGGGTCCCAGAACGGAGCCCTGGGGTACTCCAAACTCAACCAAAGCCGAATCAGACTTATTGTTCTTTTCGCTCACAAACTGTTATCTATCCGTTAAATAGGACTTAAAAAGTTTGAGTGGAATACCACGCACTCCATAAAATTCAAGCTTGCTCAAGATAATCTGATGAGAAACACAGTCGAAAGCCTTTGAGACGTCGCACTGTGAAATCATTAAGGGTTCTCCCCTTTCCAGGCCCCCGACTATGTCCTCCACCACCCTCATCAAAGCTCTAGTTGTGGAGAACTTGCTTCTGAAACCAAACTGGGCAGAGTCAAGTAATTGATTTAATTCAACAAATTTATATAGCCTC